ATGGGAGAGAATTAAAATTCTCCATCATAATTTCAGTCGTAGATGGAAACAAGACTATTTAAAGGATCTCCACAAGAGATATCGATGGAAAACATCAGAAAATGCGCCAAAGCTTGGAGATTGTGTACTTATTAACGACGATTGTCTCCCACCTACCGAGTGGCAACYTGGCCGTACAGAAAAGCTCCATTATGGCTCCGATGGTCACATCCGGGTCGTTGATCTCCGTACTCAAAGCGGAATACTCACCAGACCGCTGGTTAAATTATGCTTTCTACCAACCGCGGATAATAGCTAAATAATCCGAACATAATGCCGAAACACAAACAAAAATCAATCAAACAAGGAAAATAAATCAATAAAACCGCAACCAACCGTTAACAATAACAATAAAAATTACAGAAATGGTCGGTCAATACGACRACCCAGTCATGCCACATATTTGGCACAATAGCACATTCCATTTATATACTACCATGTATATTCAAGTACAATTTTTTACAGAGATCAAGATGGACGTGGACATGCCTACTACACCAACTCCAACTGTTCGGTCGGCAACCAACGTGGCACGTACTCGGCCTACCCCCACGCCCCGCCCGACCAATGCTACTGCATCAACTGCCGCTTCTGGTAGTGGCTCACGAGCAGCCCCCTCAACGCCATCCGCCCAAACCGAGCCGCGTCGCATCCGATGCCCGCTATGTCTCCGGAAACACCGACTACAGCACTGTGGGCTCTTTAAGGAGTTATCGCCGACACAACGCCAGCGTGTTGCTCAGCCACATGAGCATTGCCTCAACTGCCTGTCGCACACGCATGTGACGCWGGAGTGTAGTTCTGCCGATTTATGCCACACGTGTGGCAGACCACATCACACGCTGCTGGACAGAACACCACGACGCGATGTAGGTCGGCCAGCTGCCTCAAGCACGGGTAAACCCCCGCAAGGAAATCGGACGGTACGACGCCGAACCAGTGCAGCCCGGCTGAGCCCCAGCGGCGTCCAAAAGCGCCACAGCATCGCCCCGCTACAGGACTCAGCAACGTAGTCGCAACTCTCCAGCAACTCCAGAGATTGCTAGACTGAATATTCCTAATGAATGATGATGAGGAATGCACTGCGACCTTTGGTCTATTGTGCCCCCCCCCCCCTAATGCCACTACACCAATACACTAGACACACAGAATCCACATTCCACAGGACCCACACATCGACACCACGCACACGCGAGATCATATCCACTCACGCAAACACACGCCACACTCGTAAAAAGGGTCATCGTCTTAGGCTTTGGCTCAGTCTCGTTTTGATTTTCAAACGAAGCCTACGCACCGTCGCTGTGATCCTCGCGCCTTGTCGATCATCCGCACACCGTATACTTATATTAAAATTAACTGTTACCGATTAGTTYCGCAATATTGTGCAAATTGAAAAACCAAAGGGAAAGTAAAGATTTTCCGAATCTGTAGTCAAATTAAAAGAAAGCCCAAAACGAAATATATCTATCTCGAATTCCCTTTAGAAAGTAACTGGGTGTTTTATTTCAAGAAGTGAGAGTGGTAGTGTTACAACAGGACAAAGTGAAGTGACTTAAACATGCCATTTTAAACACTCGTAATTATCGAAACTTGTTATTTGGGGTAAACAGATCAAAGAAATTAAAATATCCTGATTTGTAAACATATTTACTCATATTTGTACATTACACATGCACAAAATTTTCTGGTTGAGAAAAAATGTTGATAGCGCATAAATGTGGAAATGCGGACGGCAGGATGCTATTGTGAGCTTGTTTGATTCCTTAATGATGTCAATGCATGAATTATCTAAGGAAATACTTAATATCAAAGTATTTTTCAACTGCTACTTTTTTTTTAACGAATATTGAAAACAGATTTATAAAAAATACAAAACCAAAAAATTATAAAAATTTAAAAGAAATTGAGAAATTGCATAGCATGAATTGAATTCATCTCGGATGGTCAATAATATTCCCTAGTCATCAGGTTAATAAAGTTGTAATACTATAGACTCCTTTCTGCTAAAATCAAAACTATGTAAATATATCACGAGGTGAATTTCATCGTAGTGAGATGGGTCGAACTTGAACCTTCACATTATTTGATGTTTTCTGGTTSTACAAATACAATTAATTGTTCAAACGGAAATTACCAACTGTGCTGTTTAATGTATTGGTGAAGGTTTTATTTTTAATAATTTACTTAGGGCTTCATGAATTTGTGCATTGTAAATCGTTTTTATGGCTTTCTTATTTATCTCAACAACAGTAGATGGCATTAACCTGGCTTGCTTCACAAAAGTGCAATATCGTTTGATGTTGATTTATTGCCAAGCGCACAAATAACCAGCTGGAATGATCTACCAGCAGAAATGTACATATAAACGTCAAAAAAGTGTCAGGAATTCTTCATTTCCCCTCTCCATCTCCCGCTAATATGGAAGAAAAGAAATTTTTTTTTAGTAAGTTGGTACAACTGTCCTTAATTATAATACTACCTTTTTCATTTTAGTTGTTAGAAATCCGCTTCAAAAAATTCTTTCATTCTTCCCTTTTTCTACAAACCATCATTGCGAACGGACGCGCGGACAAACCTTTCACTTTGCAGGGTATTTAAGAATTTCTAATTAATCTGTAAATAAAACTACGAACATCTAAAATTGGTGACCCCGAACAAGTGACACAAACCTAAAGATGGTACAGCGGAAAGAAAGCACCGAACATACATCTCCGTTTGCGACCAGCAGCGCAGGTGAATCATTTCAAGGCCAAAAATCCTTTCACCAAGTTCCCGTAAATCCAGAGAATGTCTCGATGTTTCGAAAACAGCTATCATTTCGTCTTTCTCGCGGTTCGATCATATTAATGTCGTCGTTGTAGGACCATTTCCCTTACATGCAAGTTACCGTTATTATCTAACAAACATCGAATGTTTCTCAAGATGGCCAGAATTTATTTCCATACCCGATATGACTGCACTGTCGCAAAGTTTCTCATCCAATTGGTATTTTGCGAAGATTTGGAACTGTTTACAAACAAGGAGCGTCACCGGCATAGTTAATCTGTCGTACAGATTCGAGTTCCTTCAGAATTTTTGCCGAATCAAAAGAGAGTCAGAATTCAAAACAACTCCGAGACTTAATGAGCGCCATCCACTACATCATGACACGGTCCAAGGAAAGTATTTCTACATCCCGACTTTGCGATGTGAGAAAACGTTTTCGTCAGAAGTGACTCAGTGTGCCCACCCCTTTTGAAACCATACGAAGGACGTTTTACCTCGAGAGGAAAAGTATTCAAAATCGAAATAAAAGGAAAACTAGAAAATGTTTCAATAAATTTAAACCAGCATTCCTACCGAATGTAGACTTACTTTGTGTAAGTTGGTGGTAATGCTAGTGATATTTATGCTAAACTTCCGTAAAAATATAAGTATAAGTTTTGAGATACGCATCATTTTGTGAGGCTCTAAAAGTGAATTCTTCCGATTTTTACTATGCGAATTGAATACCCTCCTCACTGAAAACGCGGCAGTATTCTCGACGATCACCGGCCCCAGCACAGCCACCGAACACATAATTCGCCTTAAACACGACCGTCCACTAAAGCAGAGATATTATCCACGCAACCCAGCGATGCAAGAAGTAATCAATCAAGAGGTGAACGAATTGATTACAACAGGCCGMATCGAAGCCTCTAACAGCGCCTATAGCTTGCCCATTGTCTCAGTGCGAAAAAAAACAAGGAAGTTGGGGAATGTGTATAGATTACTTAACGCAGCAAGCATACCAGACGCATACCCACTTCCCCAAATAAACGCAGTCCTAGACCAACTAAAGGAAGCTCGGTTCATATCGATCATTGACCTGACAAACGGCTACTGGCAAATTCCGCTACACCCCCCCCCCTCACGCCAGTATACCGCATTTACCGTACCGGGGAGAGATTTATTCCAGTGGCGAGTAATGTCTTTTGGGCTGCATTCGGCAACATTTCCGCGAGCCTTAGACACCGTTCTGGGATCAGAACTACAGTCGAAGGTCTTTGACTATCTGGACGATATCATTGTATTGGGAAACACTTTTGAAGAGCACTTAGATAACTTGCAAACGGTGTTCACGCACCTTCAGCAAAACCATATGCAGATCAACTTTGAAAAGTGTAAGTTCGTGCAGCAACGCCTCCATTACTTGGGCCATGTAGTCAGACCGTTGGTATTCACACAGCCCCGCTGAAATCGCAGCCATTAGCGATATGGCAGTACCCACCATCAGAGAATTACGCCGCTTTCTAGGAACAGCCTCGTGGTACCGACGTTTCGTAGCAGACTTTGCCAAAATATCAGCACCGCTGAACCGCTTATTAAAAAAGAACCAGCGTTGGACATGGGGTTCAGAACAAGAGAAGCATTCCAAGTCTTAAAAGAAAGACTAACTAGTGCACCCATCCTGGGTTGCCCCGACTTCGAGAGGCCCTTCTGTCTGCAGACTGACGCCAGCGGGGAAGGACTAGGCGTGGTGCTATTTCAGCGCCATTCTGACCAAGAATGGGTCGTAGCATATGCCAGTCGCAGCTTCACAGAGTTGGAGAAGCGGTACTCTGCCACCGAACAGGAGTGCTTAGCCGTATTGTGGGGCATAAGCAAAATGCGACCGTACCTGGAGGTCTATCATTTCACCGTAATCACCGACCATCATTCACTTAAATGGCTTCACACCCTGCAGAACCCATCCGAAAGACTTGCAAGGTGGGCACAAGAGCTAAAGCAGTTTGATTTCGAAATAGAGTATCGCAAACGTACCCTCAACGTAGTCGCAGATGCGCTATCCAGATGCCCACCGAAAGACCAAGAAGGCGATGCGAAACTTTTGCATGCCGTCCATGATCAACCGGATAGATGGTATGAAAGACGTACGCGCCAATTACACGATCAATCGCAGAAATATCCCGATTACCAACTTATCGATGGCCGGGTCTTTCGGCACGTCGCCCCACGCAGTAAGCTATCCAGGTCTCCATGCTGAAAACTATGCGTACCAGAGCCCCGTCGGCAGTCGGGTCTACGAAAATTGGAACGGACCCGGATTTTTATCCGCCCAAGGACTGTCAAATCGGCAGAATTCTGCCGTTACAACAACAACAACTCGAAGTCCTGAGAGAAAATCACGACGCTAGTACCGGCGGTCTCWTGGGTGTACACAAAACACTCAAACGCACACAAGAAGGGTATTATTGGCCTGGGATGCATAGGGATGCGCTCAGATATGTTCGTCGATGCTAAGAATGTGCCGATTTTAAGGTAGACCAACGCCGACCTGCCGGGATGATGGCCACCATGCAATGCTCACGACCATGGGAAGTTGTAACGGTGGACTTTGTAGGTCCACTACCACGTTCAACAAATGGCAACACATGCTTGCTAGTGCTCACGGATAAGTTCTCCAAGTATCCAGTCCGGAATGCAACCACCACCAGTGTTATTAAGGCGCTACGAGATCGCGTGATATACCGGTTTGATTGCCCTGACATATTCCTTACCGACWACGGGAAGCAATTCACCGGCTAGCCGAAATAGCTTCGCAATAAATACATCACAACACGACACGACAAAACCATCAGCAGCTGAGATAAACTTCGGGTACACACCGGCTACACCGAAACAAATCTCCAAAGATGGGAATGTGACTGACGAAGAAGTCACCACCGTGCTGACACCCACCGAGCTTTGGCAAGAAATTTGTCGCAACTTGTCTACTGCAGCAAAACGCCAGAAGAAATACTACGATTTGCGCAGACGACTATGGAAGCCACTTATCGGCGAGAAAGCACTCAAAAGAGATCATCCGCTCTCTTCCGCAGTAAACAGCTTTGCACAGAAGCTTGCTCCGAAATATTCTGGCCTAATCATTGTCAGAAAATTCAAGTCAACTAACACAGTCGAAGTCGTGAATCCTAACGCACCAGGCATGCGTACCATCTATGTGCATCTGCAAGATCTAAAGCAGTTGCCAACCGAATAATAAACTCGA